ATTTTATTATTAAAGTAGTTTTATTTTGGTGGGTATAGTGGATTTTAAAATTTGTTAATATTGCAAATTACGAGATGTTGAGTTAAGATACAATTTACTTGTTTGTCCACAAGATTGCTGTGAGGCATTTGTACCCCATCGGAACCATCATGATACATTCATAACTCTTTGGCTGAATGGACAATAATTGAATTGCACTAAACTCTATTAGATGAGAAAAAGGACCTAAATAGGAATGTTTACATTATAAAATACAACATCTGTCGAGTCAAGTATATCACAAACCATTGACTATTTGATAAACAATTCATTGTACTAATAAAGTTTTTTCTAAATTTTGTTTTTCTTATTTTAGCATTAGATATAGTTGTTTATTCTGGGTGTAGCTATGGCAATAGTGGTTGTGTTAGTGAAAAGAAGGAAACTATGGCCATATCAATGAAAGAAAAGCGCACCAAAGATGAGCTAGAAATCACTAACAGGCAGAAGCCAAAATAAAATTACGTTTTTTTCCTTTTTTGGATGGATTAAATCAAAATTTTATGTGGCCAAAAAAGAAGAAAAAAAATTTCCAAATTGAGGAGAATAATACTATTTCAATTAAGAAAATGTCCATGTGAAAATTAATGTGCATTATGGTCATTGCAAACCTATTAAGAACAAGTACAAATTGGTTTGGTAGAAACATGATTTCAGCCATAAAATAAAATTAGAGATTAACAGTTGCTTTAGATTGTTGGGAAAATATGCATATTAATATATTAATTTGATAACAAAGTACGATATTTAAGTTAGTAAAACTGAAAAAAATAATAGAATATAAAATAAGTAAGAAGTTTTTAAAACTTTTATTTTTTGATTATTCTTGACGAGCTCATATCTTGTTGGACAGAATCCAATAAATCAACCAAGCTTAGATCCACTAGAAAAGCAAGCCAAGCCCTTCATCAATCTGACCCAATTCAAGATTCAAGAGCCTAACAAGATAAGGGAACATGGGAGAGAGATTATCAGGATACACACTCTCGAAGATTAAGGCTATCTTAATTGTACTTATCTTTTGTAGTTATCTCTCCGAAGAATTAGTACTCTCACACTCACGTCACTGACTCACCATGCCTATAAATTGTAAGCTTTCTCCATTGAGAGAAGAATTTCACTACAACACTCTATACATCTATATCTCTCTACGCTCTTTCTCTCTCCTAGCTTTTGTACCCCTCTCGGGGCTAACCATTGCTTTCTCCACCGTTCACTTACTTCATCAATAAAGACCCCCTGGCCACCGTTGTCATTTCTTAGAGTGGAGTAAGTTACCCGGACTGAACCACTATATTTCTATGTGTTAACTCAATATTTACATTATTGTCATTGATTGCTTTATTTATTATCCATTAATTACACCTTATTACACACTCGACTGTTAATCTTGCACGAGACAGTTTTGTGCATCATCAGTTTGCCGTTGTCTGTGAGAACCGACTAAGTTTTCTACTACCTTGCTACTCCATGGCAATCACAACCAGGTTGATGAGTCAAGAACCGAGAGACAATAACCTGGCCCCTCGGGAGGAGGCTTCGCCTACCCTCGCACCCTCAAAATCGTCCACTACGGCGACTCCCGTCGTCGGGCAACAACTTTTACAGACCATGCAGCTACGGGTAAACTAGAACCAGTAAATCATTCAGTTGATGCTCGCCCCTCAGCCTGTAGGAGGAGCACCACTCCCTCCAACAAGAGAAGCACCACAACCTTTCCACTCTAGGAAGCACCCCCAACTTTGGAGCCTCACGCCAGAATGGCCCCGGGCAACGCCCAGGAGCCCCTCCTCAACGCATAAGAAGCTCACATGTTTCCCTTCCTCATGTACCTACGTTGGAGGACGAGGGAGAAAGCCAATATGCCGATTATGAAAGCCATTACGACAACTCGACGGAGGATGTCCCCAACCAATGGGACAAGAAGATCAAAAAAGTGTAAAACCAACTCGGTAATGTCAATTACTCCTTACCCTCGAAGTTCAAGATGTCTGCCATCGAGGTCTTTGACGGTACCAAAGCCCCTCGGGATCATCTTGACACCTATTAGTCTCTCATGCAACTTCACAACATGCCTGATGAGATCATGTGTAGAGCTTTACCCACCACCTTGAAGAGGTCTGCTCAACAATGATTTGCGAAGATTAAACCCTTCTCTATCCACTCCTTCGCGGAGCTGAGTAAATATTTTGTCTCCCACTTCATTTGGGGATGCCGATACCAAAATCCTGCTACCCACCTGCTCACCATCAAGTAGGACCAGGACAAAAACCTTAGGGACTACCTCACTCATTTCAACGACTCTCCAGATCGAGGAGCCAGACGATAAGGTAACCATGGTCGCCTTCATTGTAGGTCTAAGCTCCTCGAGTTTTATGTTCTCTATCCTAAAGAAGTCGCCCTCCAGCATGCTCGAGCTACTATCAAAAATGCCGAGGACGTCACCACAGTCCGACAAGGTGAGTCGTCCTGCAGGGATGAGAAAAGAAAGGATACCCGCAAAGACAAGAGAAAAGCAAACAAGAGGAATAGGATAGATAGAGTCTTTGTGAAGGACTTCCTTGGTCTCCCACCTCTGAGAGAGCAGCAAGCCTTTACGCCACTCAACGCCTCAGTGGAGCATATCTTGTTCCAGATACAGGATGAACCCACACTCCGCTGGCCAGGTAAAATGAAGTCTACCCCAAATAGAAGAAATCCAAGCAAGTATTGCCGTTTTCACCGCAACCATGGTCACGACATTGATGACTGCTATAAGCTTAAGAGGTAGATTGAGGAGCTCATACAGCGTGGCCAGTTGAGGTACTACGTTAGTGGCAAAGGACAAGCCCGACCACCAGGCCAGGACCAAGATGACAGAGAACGCCAACAACCCCTCGGAGAAATCCAGACAATCTCCTAAAGGCTAGGAGGAGGAGGCAACTCCAACTCCGCCAAGAAAGCCTTGGGTCACCTATAAGACACCGAACACCTGAAGAGCTATTATCAATAGTGGGTATAAGCTAATGGCTCTCATTTTATCTTTCATTTATTGTTTTAATTGATTTATTCTGTAACGTATTATTTTATAAAATAAAACACTGCGAAGATTATTGTGTCTCGAACTATCTTGCTTTCATTTCATAAAGTTTGTAAACAGCTTACAAAAGTCATAACATAACCTAACAACATGGTAGACAAAAAGACAAAAGTCCTCATACTCCTGACGATCAGTCACTGCTCCTTGAGCCACTATTATAAAGGCTCTATTTGTCATCATCTACCTCTGGTGCCTCATATGGGACAAAGCCAAAATCAAGTGACTACCTAGTCGTTTCTCTGTGTTACCCGAGGTGCCACCCGACCGACCCAAGACGTCGTCCGAGTGACTCGAGATCTCACCCCAATGACCCGAGGCACCGCCCAAGCCACCCGAGGCAAGCGACCTAAAGCACCGTACCTGTACCTAGCACTCCTCGACGTCCAGCTCTCCTCAGCATCCATGCCCAGCGACAACCAATGCCCCTCGGCATCCGTACCCAATGGCGTCCAGTGCCCCTCGACATTCTCGCCCAGCGGTGCTCGTGTCTCAATCTCCAACTTAGCGGCTCTTACGTGAGTCGCCAAAAGCTTGACTTATCTCTACTCTGCTCTCAAGCAAGCAACCAAAATCTCCAGTTTAGCAGCTCTCTCACGAGTCGCCAAGAAGCACAACCCATCTTTGCTCTCCTCCCATGCAAGCAGCCTATATCTCCAACTTCGCGCTCTCTCGCAAGTCGCCAAGAAGCTTAGCCTATCTCTATTCTGCTCTCAAGTAGACAGCCTATATCTCCAACTTAGCGACTCTCTTGCGAATCGTCACAAGCTTGGTCTATCTCTACTCTGCTCTCAAGCAGGCAACCTATATCTCCATCTTAGCGCCTCTCTCACGAGTCACCAAAAGCTTGGTCTCAAGAGGTGTTACACTCTCATGTGTAAATCTCAACTGCTCTCAACAGCCCCTCATACATATTTCTTTGTAACCAGATGCTTGAATGTCTCTCCAAGCTTCAATGTCCTTGAAAAAGGCAGGAAAAAGCGGCAGCCACCTACAAGCATTCAAAAAGCAGAATATGAAGGATAGACCTCCAAATACAAAATCAAAGTTGATAATACCCTTTTGGACCTCGAGATCTAACCTCTCTGATATCACCGGGAGTCCCAAATCTCCAAAGCTACTCCTTGGCCAAAGTCACGTCAAAGCATTAACACTGAGCAACTACTAGAACTAGGGTAGCTATGTGAGCTACAGTCCCCATAGAAGATCGCACTAGAGTCTCAAATCGTACAGTGGTACAAGGGCTAGCTTTGATACACGCAGAAGTCCCAGTCTAGGAAGGAGTGGGGGCACCACTTGATCCCGCTCTCGAGATGAAACCCGACTATCGGACCTTGGACAAAAAGCATTGGGAGAATCAAACCTTGTCGTCTTAAGAAGAGGGAAAGATGCTGCCCTAGAAGCATATAAAACCTCTACCTCCATCATCACTCTATCAACGAGAGCACCTGAAATTAGAGACAAGGTCAAGAACCAGCATAGCTGAAAGCCATTATAGTATCCCTCTCTAGCAAAAACCCAGAACGCCAACCTGTCGCCTACTAGAGCGCAACTTCACACTGTGGTCGATTTTACTAATTTGTATTTAAAACTCAAATTCAGAGAAATAGAAGTATTATTGGGGGAAATTTGTTGACCAAACCACCTTTGAGTGTTTGTATGTCATATATCTCAAAAAAATACCCAATTAAAAAAAATTGCCTCAAACAGACAACCGGGGACAAAGTTATGGCCGTTTAAAGTTTTACTATTTTTTCATGGTTTTCTGATACTCCAGCCGGGTCCCTAGGCCTCCCAATGTCGCCCAGACCACATATATCCTCTGGCACCACCTAGACCTCCATGGCGTCGCCAAGACTAGCCTTATGCTCCAAAGTGTTGCCTCCTACTCCAAGCCAACACACAGCACCAACTCCAACAACCAGTGCCCAGCCTGACACCTGCCCCTACAAGGCATAACCCAGCTAGCACCTAGCCTGGCTCCTGCAAAGCATTGCCCAATAGCAAGCATGCACTTGCCCAACAACCTGTTGGCACCCGCCCACAGCATGTTGGCGTCGCCCAGTAGCCTACTAGGTCTACCCAACTCCTCTATATCCTCTGCCTTTCAGTGCCTGTACCCAGCATCGTCCTAGTATCCTCCGTCTTCCTCGACGTTTGCTTGACCCATCTTGCTTTTAGCACCACCTAGCATACCTAGAGAGCTGCCCATCCTGCTTAGTTTCCCGCCTAGGCTATTGGCCCCTCCACTGTTGGTGTCACTTGAGTCTATAAAGGCAACATAGGGGTCACCCATGCCAAACCCATGGCTGCCCAACATCCTTTTGGCGCCTCCTAGGAGCCACACCCGGTACCCTGTCGCCTGGCTCACTCCTGTTCCAACCCATATTAGTAGTAGCTTCTGTGCCATAGGCGTCACCCAGACACCCAAAGGCATCGTCAACAACCTTGTGGGCATTTCCCTCTTGGCCCCCTTTGGTCTCACCAATTACACCATGGACCTTGCTCCTTGCGAAGTTGTCTTTCCCTAGGCTGGCTCTCTAGGCACCACCTCTTTGTCCTCTTATTTCCTTAGACTTTGAGTATTCCATAAAGCATAACCATGGAGCTATCAAAAGAAGAGAAAAAATTCCCAGAATAAAGAAGCAAGAAGCTCAAGAAGCTAACATCGTGGAGAACAAAAAACCTTTTGCCCACTCCAAATGAACAGGTCACTCATGCCCTCAATCTCCTTGACACTACTAGGACTTGGGGCATGGGGGGCAAATGACAAGCCCAGATCTAATTGGGTTAGGTCCAATAAATCAAGCAAGCCCAGATCTACTAGAAATGCGGGCCAAGTTTGGTTCATCAATCCGACCCAATCCAAGATTCAAGGAGCCGAGGAAGATAAGAGCACGTGGGAGAGAGATTATCGGGATACACATTCTCAAAGATTAAGGCTATATTAATTGTACTTACCTTTTGTAGCTATCTCCCCAAAAAATTAGTACCCTCACACTCACGTCACCGCCTCACCATGCCTATAAATTGTAAGTTCTCTCCAATTGAGAGTAGCATTTCACTACACCATTCTACACCTCTACATCTCTCTACAATCTTTCTTTCTCCTAACTATTGTATCTCTCCCAGGGCTAACCATTGTTTTCTCCCCTGTTCATCTTACTTCATCAATAAAGAGCCCCTCGTCCACTGTTGCTATTTCCCAAAGTGGAGTAGGTCACTCGAACCGAACCACTTTATATCTGTGTGTTGACTTAATATTTATTTTACTGCCATTAATTTCTTTATTTGCTTTCCATTAATTACACTTTATTACACACTCGACTGTTAATCTTGTACGAGAGAGTCCATCATCAATTCTAATAGTTGGATGACAATATCAATGATAACCTGTTGGGGAAATTACTTGTTGAACGTAGGGGGTATTAGTTTAATAAATTGACGATAGCTCTGACTCTTGATGTTGCCATCAATATGGAACTAAATAATTTGTAGGTCTAATGACTGCTTGATCCTCGAGAGGCCATACCCTTTGTTTGGTTTAGACCTTTTGATTAATTTAATAACCGAAGAGTGCAACTTTTATTTTTAGTGTATTCTTTACTTGTTTCTCATCAGCATAATTTTTAAAATAAGATAAGGATACTTCTATGACAAGTACTTCTTGATGTGTGTTCCATGGGCACATCAGGCTGTGTATGAAATCATTTAAACCTAAAACTTTCTGTTATTGCAATTGTTTAAGTCCGTTCTCCATAATTTGGAGAATTATTTTTTAATAAAGATCATCTTTATGGTTTTCTTTTTTGTGTAGGTGACAGTTTCAGGTTGCTATCATCCTTTATGAAATCAGTTTTTCTTGACACCATTTGGGTTATACTAGTTGGTGCACACGGGCACTGCACGTGAACCATTTTTTATTTTAATATTTTTATTTCTAATTGTTTGTGACTTTGTGGCATGTATTTGTAGGTTTATTTGTTAAGATTAGAGCAACTTGAAAAAAATAACTTTTGACTAGGTTTTGTGTTATTTGTTGTTTAAAGAAATGTAAAGGATTTAGAAAAATTAATTTATTAATTCCAAATCAAGGCCTTTGAGGATATGATTGTTTAGTGGTATTGATGAAAGTCAAATTGAAAAAAAAATAAAAAAATAAAGGTAAGGTTGTCTGGGAGGATATGATTAAATTGGAAATCAAAAGTTTTCTAAATCTAACCTAAATAGCTCCTAACAATTACTACCAGCCATCCAAACCAATCCACTCATATTTAGCATACCAATCAAAAGTTGATTTGGAATAGGGTAAAAATTGAAACAAATAATTCAAAATAATAAAGTAGATAGATTGTTTACAATAAAGTAGATGGATTTGTTAATGGTATAGATTGTTTACATTAAACGACTTATTTTACAACTTACATTATAATTTTTTAACCACAATAAATATTGTAACTATATGTAATTTTTAATCACAATAAATATTTTAGCTACGTAAAATATTTGGACCCTAGTAAAAAACAATAGTGTTATGCATGGGATATCTAAGTTCTATGGACGATCATCTAGGATTCTTACAAGGTATTTCCATAGTTTTAACATCTTTGTGTTTTTTTCTATCACATGAAGCTTGATGAATCTAAGCATTGCAATAAATTAATCTTTTTTGGCCGACAAATCTTTGGATTTAGTGTAATTCATAAATCTGGATTTAGATTCTTTTAATTATACGTCGACTTGATTTCTCTAATGGTAGATCACTTGTAAACAATCAATGGGATTCATGGTCCCCTATATTTAAATGAATCTCATACTAATGAACGGCAAATGACAACAATCAAATCAATTTTTTAAAAAAAAAGTGAATCGGAGGGATCTAGATCCCACAAATCGAATTATTAAATGTTGATTTCCACTAGCTCATACTTGCCTTAAAGCATACCAACTAGTTCAAGAAAATTAACAATTCTCATGTTATTCTTGGCAGGACATTTTTTTTTTTTGGGTAAAATGGCAGGACATCTTTTTCTTCCTTTTCTTTTTGTATTCCTTTTTATACTAAATCCAACAATCAAACACCATTCTTAAAGGTTGTTTGGATGACCCTAAAACTTATTAGTACGGCATTTGGAAGTAGAATTCCAAAATTTTCCATGGTGCAATACAAAAAAACAAAGTAACATCTCCCGTAAAAGTCTTAAAAAAACCCACTTTATACTTTTTTTCTATCTCTAGTAAAAAAATCAATTAGTAGAAATTTATATAGATCATATAAAATTTTTCCATGAACCCATATGAATCGTTGGCATAGAAAATTTTGTCATTACTCTAATAGAATTTGTAATTTTTACATTATATGCATGATCACCATCAAAATATGGTGATTCATTTATCCTTTACTTGTTCATCCACTCCATCCAGGTCCAATCTGGTCAACTTACATTAACAAATTCAATTAGATTCTCATAACCATTACTCATTCATAGTATATGGTCTTATAGGACTCGACAAAAACACTCCTTACCTGCACAAATTTCACAATATTAAGTGAAATATTAAAATTCCAAAATTGAAAAACCACTATAAATCAAACAAAAAAATGTGTTTTGGATGTAGCCCATAAGCATATGTACTTTTCGAAACCTGGCACAAAATATTGCATGCAACAAAATATTAGAAAGAGTAAGAAATCGAAAAACCAGAAATCATTTAATCCAAAGAACCCAAAACTCTGCAAAATTCCAATAAATTAATTTATCGATAAAATCGTTAGTCAATCACTTCATAAATAGTAAATAATACCACCATGCAACCTATGAATAACAATAACAAAGAGAGAGACAGAAACACACGTCAAAAATTATTGAATCAAGGAAAACCAAGGGAAACGGTGCTATAGAACCAAAAATTGTTGTACAAACACAAACTGTACGAGAAACACATAGATCCCCAAATCCCAACAACATCTCCAACATAAATCCAACCCTTGTTTGTATCCATTGTTTTCACATTTAGATTATTACCCGTCTAACCTCATATTTTTATCATACCGAGAAGAGAAAAAACTAAGCTGAAAGTAGAAAATCAAATCGGTGCGTCTATGATTTGCAATCCTGGTTAGATAGTCCATTAACACAATCGCAACCGTTCTGCTTGGCAGCTGCAAAAAGAAGACGAAGCTTCGGCTTAGACTCCATCAAGATTGGATGGTGAAGGGTTAAACTGATGAGAAAATATTTGGATATTTTTTATGTGACCTTTTAAGCTCACTACACCTATAATAACTTGGTTCCAAGAAGCTGTTTCAAAATTTCGGACGGCCAAACAGCTTTTACCCGTTGTGCCATGGAGTTACGAAACTCCTAAAGTTCAGCAACGATCAGGTTTCCATAACTGACTCTGTAATTCAAGTAAGTAATTTAATTCAAGTAGTCAATTTAATTAGGCTGCTTGCAGACCAATAAAAAATGAGTACAAAAGGATGTTGACATTTGAGAATTATAGATAGATTTAGGAGTAATTAATCACATTTTTATGGAACAAAAAACAAAATCAAAAGTTTTTGAGATTAGCAACATTATAAATTAGTATAGATATAGAAATATATAAATATTAACATTCAATGCAAATGGAATACATAGGGTCTAATAGTTAAAACCTGTGACTAACTTTTAACAGTATTAGTTTCAATATTTCTAAGGCCTAAAAACCTAAATAACCTGCCATAACTATTGGATGAAGGATAAGATCGATTTTGTAAGATAAATCAGGGTTGAAATTGGAAAATAAATGTTTTTACTTTTAGGTGCTTTTATAAGTAGTATAGAAATAGCTTAACATTAGCTTTGTAGTGCTTCTATTTCTAGGCTAGGCATGTCCATATTCCCCCTTCCCTCCTGAAAAAAAAATGAAATGTTAGGATTTTAACCTATCAAATTATCATGAATCTCCCTCTTTGCCTTTTGACTCTCTGTCCCATATCAGATAGCCTTTAGGTGTGTGAGTAATATATAAGTCTTCATTGACCCTTATTTTGTTAGAGCAAGTGGTTAGTGTTTGATCAAAAAAAAATCTCACATCAGATTCTTGCAGTGTTCTTAGGCTGCAAACTCCATATTATATTCTAGATAATTAATATATAATATTCTTATGACTCCATCAATCCAAAAGTGGTGTAAACAATCATCGTAGACCTATTTACCCGAATAAAAAATATTATTTAGATCTGGTTAACTGACACAGGCATTAGTATTATATGTCCACTTGCTTGCTGTCAAAGGGGCAAGAATGCCCCTGCTTTCATTTCATTTTGCAGTTTACATTTATTTTAATGTTTGTGACTATAGAAAAACATAACAGTACAAATAAAAAAACCTGGCGGTTTTCTTTGGACAAGCTTACATAGCAGGTGATATCGGTTGAAATCATATATGTGGGTTTGAGTTCGAGTTCTAT